CCCCCCGACATGGATCCATTTTAATTAAGATACTTCCTTCTTGGAAAGAGAAGTCCTGGACAAGCGCAGCGACCGAGAGCGGTTACGAAAAGCCTCGTCGGTGTCCGTGGATTTTGTTCGTTCTTATTTTTTTCTTTTAATGCCACAAATATTCCCAGCTGTATTTCATGTTCATGTTTTAGACTGAAAAAAAAAAAAAAAAAGTATTTCATGACATCTTCACGATCAGGACTTCGCCTAAGGCTAAATTAAGTTATTAAAAATGGATCGTGCGTCGGAGAAAAGATTGTGACAGTTGTTTTGGGTTAGAAATGAAAGTTCGTACTTCATAAGATTTCACAGGATTTGCAAAAAGCTTGTTGGTCTAATAAAAGATATTGCCTCTATGCATGAGCCCCGATTGCTTTTTCCTCTAGACCAGTACGGCTACAACCGGGATGTGCGACCCCAAAAAGCCATGCACTTTGTGCTGTGAAGTAATATAACCACAAGTCTGAAAACTGAAGTCCTCTGTTTAAGCACAGAGCAAGCGTACTTCGCTTTTGGGCAGCTGCAGTGCAAGTCGGTACCTGCAGTTGTTGCCTGCCTGCTTCAGATCAGATCCTCCCAGGTTGCGCAGCCCAGCCCTTCAAAACCAGTTTGGTGCAACCCTGCGCGCTTGCAGCTTCAGCTGGTTTTCCTAACAAGGTTGCCAGTTGCAGTGGTGGCTTTTGTAGTGCCAGCAGATGCGAGTCCTGGACTGGGAACCTCTGCTGATCTGGGCCAAAACTGAACTATTTTTGAGATAGAAAAGTGAGGTCTCCATCCTCAGTTTCCAAGTGGTTTTTAACGCATGGATTATTCTGACAGGCTTTTGAGAAGTTGCTCATTCAAAGTCAGCGTTTCCAAGGGATAAATACAACTTCCTTAAAGGCAAGTTGACTGCGTAAAACCTTTCAAGCTGATTTTTTTTTCCCTCCCCAAGCAAGATGTTTGAATTCTGCAGAGGGTTCACCCAGACTGCAAGATGCTTTTGACCCAGAGGAAGTATGGCAAATGTTGATATACCGAAAGGAGTCTAGATTAAGTTTTAAATATTTCCAAGGGGAGCTGATGGCAGTTGTTAGAAGTTAGAAATTGTTATCATTTTGTAGTATTTAATACATTTGAATGCTTTCAAGCATAGATGAAATGGCATGATTTCAGAGCATTTATACTGCCATATTTAGGGGCACTTATTCTCTCACAAATACTTAGGCATTGTTGTTGACCAAGAATGGTATCCAGCCTGATCTTAGAGATCCTTAGTGATCCATTTTACTAACTTAATTTAGGTTTATGCGAAGTCCTGGTCACTAAGATTCTTTGAAACGTTTTTTTAGTCTGAATCATTAACATTAAATATAGCTGGAAACATTTGTGGAATTAAAAGAAAAAAGCTAACAATGTACACATAGGTGAATATGCAATATTTTGGAATGTTCTTGGTTTCTAAGTTTGTAAAGTACTCCTTCTGTTTCCAAGAAGGAAGTATCTTAATTAAAATGGATATATATCTGTTCTGGGGGCTAGGAGAACACTGAAAACTATGGATGGGCGCTTTAAAATGTAATCACAAATTACTGGACTCACAAAAGACTTTTCAAAATCCATATTTAGTGTTAGGAATTATGTAACAGTCTTTCTATCATTTACCATAAAGTCCTTTATTATGCCTGTTCTCCTTGTCATTATTGTACTTCTTATGACCTAAGTCATCAGGCTGTCATAAAATCATGCTTGTTAAGTGCCGTGAGTATCATGGCAGGTGCAAGTAAGCATAATGCTTCAGGATTTGAGTTTTGAATGAAACTCCTTTAAACTACTTTACTTTGTATTCAACTGAGGAACTGATATTTTTAATTTTAGCTTTATACTTAACATCAGGAATGTAATAATTGAGGTTGCATTTAGCAGTCCTGAAGTTTGTAGATAACAGTTATAAACTGTAATGGTGAATTGCTTGAATTTCTCCGAGCACTGTGGTAGTGTGATTCATTTGGTGCAGGCTAAAAGAACTTATTGTATATAAGGCATGAGACTTGAAGGTAAAGATGCCTTGAAATAGTCAGTTAATCCATTAACTTTATTTTTGATCCTCATGATGGAAATTAGTATTCAGCACTACATATGGTATCTGAGACCTTGACGTGGACAAATTTAAATTGTAGTTCAAATTTGCAGCATCTGTACTGGAAAGCGGGTAGTGCTTTAAGTGTAACTTCAAAATCTTTCTTTAGAACTATAGTGAATTAGGTTTACTAGGAATTGTGAGGCCTGATAGCCAGCCACTACATTGGAAGTAGACTAAAAATGTTACGAGGGGAGATAACTTCCTGTGTCAAGTATTGCTAAATCATACGTTGCCGTTGCATTTCCACATTATTGAAAGGATTGCATACTGATCTGGGATTATTTTAAAACAGTAGTTGGAGCAAAAGTATGGATTTTGAATGAAAGATAAAATAGTTCTCTCGCTCAATAGTTGTCTTCCTGATTAATATGTATCTGATGATGAGTAATAGTATATTAGGAAATAAACATTGTTGCTGTTTATCTAATTACTTAATCAACCACTCTCATTAAAACTTATATTAGGGGTTAATACGGTGCTGGGGTAGGACAAAAAAGGAAGTTGTACTACTAGGTTGCTGGTTTCATATTTGCTATGTATGATTTGATCCAAGTCATCTAGCCCTTCCTTGCCCTATAAAAGAACTTAACTCCTAGGTTTTTTCCCAAGTTCATACTAATTACATGATTGAACACTTAGTGTTAGGTTTGTGTGTGAATTATGAGTGCTTGAGCACTTACATGACTCACTCATATGCCATGCAGTTTCTTGACTTGCTTTTCTGAATGAATATTTTCATTCAGTAGTAAAATAGTACAATGTCTGACTAGCTAATTCCATCTCAAATGCCAGCTTGTAGTATTTCAATTACAGACAATTACTGGAGGATCTTTTGGCTACTTGAAGACACTGTGAAATAATGACATTGCTCTTTCCCATGGGAATAGTTGCTAAGATTATCTTTCTTCATTTTGGCAATTTTGGTTCTCTTGCATCTTGGTGTATCTGGAGGTATACCATTTTTCCCTTGTATGCAATGATTAATTTGTGAAAATTGTCCACCATCACTTTAGCATTAGTTCAGCTCCACATCGCTGGCCATATGGCCATGTCCAGGTGAGCGTGGTCATGTGATATGTGGTGCCGCATACTCGTCTGTGGTACGACATACCGCACATTCAGGCATTGCATGTGCTACTACCTTGCAGTGCAGGGGCAGGGTTTTGACCCCTGGAAATCCTGGAGTCAAAAAAACCTACACAGAAAAAAAGCAGGGTCACACACATGGAGGTGGCTCACGTGGAGGCAGCGCATGCTGCCCAAAACCAGAGCCTGGCCAGCTGGAGCCATGCTCCAAACCGCAGAAGCACTGCGGCTGCAGCTTGCCCGGCCCCCAGGATCCCAGGTAAGGTTACTGGCCCCAGCCTCCCCTACCCCATCTGAGGTAACCTGCTGCGCATCAGAGGGCGCGTGGCACAGGTGTTTCCCAGGGACAACTAGCAGAGGCACAAGGTGTCCTGCTGCTGATTTTCCCCAGAGAACCAAATGTCCGTGCTTATCTGGACACAACCTATGACTGTTAGCACAGATTGACTGCTGGTGCTTAGCGTTGTGTTATCTAGTCTAGACATCTGGTTTAGGTGGGATTTG